AGCAAACGCCCCGGCGCTTACGGCGCCTTGGCTGGAAGCTCGCACGAGCCGCTCCTGCCTGGCTGCCGCGGGCTTTACGAAGCGCTTTGTACAGAGCGGGGGAGGCCGGGCCGCCCCTTGTCGGTTGGCTCTAGGGAGGGACGTTTAAGCCCTGGAACAGGATGGTTTCGGCCCACGCGGCGCCCTGTCCTGTACGTCAGGAGCAGGCCGGACTCGTCCCTACGCCTGTATTTTCACTCACGCCAGCTCCTGCTTTGTGAACTCGGGATTTAATGAGATTTTTGCTATTTAGAGAAAATAGTATTTAGCCGTTTGCCATGTTTTCCATAGCCTAACTCTGTTTTGTATTCTGGCTTTTATGCAGGCTGTTTCAAACATTTTAAAGTGAAAAAGCTAACCCTTCTGATAGGGAAGGATTGTAAGAAAAAGCTATTTTTTTTATATTAAGTAATTGAGAAGTCTGTCAGGGAAGCCTCATAGCAACGCGTACAGAGAAGCAGCTGCACCAGTACGCTTGGCGATGGGTTTTCCGGTAACCTTGTGGGCCGGTCGCCGTTGTGTAATGGGGGCGAACTGAACCGCAGTCGGCTGCCCCCGATTCTAAACACACTGATAATATTATCGCACAGAGCATGTGCATGACTTCAAGAACTGTCACCAAAGACAGAGTAGCATAAATAAAGATAACTTTTTTTCCTGAAAGTAAATTATTACCTTTTGGGATACTTAACGTTCATTCTAGCTCACTGCTGTCATTTGTAGCAATGAGACTCTTAAGGTTACTTACCTAAGTCCCAGAAAACTTCAAACAAGTAAAACCTATTTTCCTTTTAATACATTTTAATTCTTTAATTGTTGGCTTTTAAGTAATGAACTGAGACGTTTGGTAGGGAGCGATTTCCCTCCAGACAAAGCATAATCTCCCCCTACTCATACGGTTATTACGAGTCCTAATGAAATCTTATGTATGTCTATGTTGGTAGGTGCAGACAAACATGACTCCTTTGCCCAGTGCTCTGAGATGGCCAGTTATCAATCTGCTTTAGTTCAGAAACCATATGACGGTATTGATGTAGTATGGCCTGTGAGCTAATATACTCTAAAATCAGGCTTGATTTCCCACAGGGCCTGGTCTCCTGGCACAGAGCCACGTTGGTAGGGACGTATGGCGTTTGGACTAGAGCTGGCCTGTGTCTGGCTAGTTAAGGACAGGGGCAGAGAATGACCTTGAATCTCTCTGTACTCGTCTGTGTAAATGGACATCAGTGGTCCTAAAACATTATTTGAAGTGATGATAAGTTTTTTTTTATGAAGCACCTGCAGGTGGTTTCAAAAGTGTCTGTGTGCTGGGGTGCTAATCAGAGCCCTAAAAAATTACTGAAGCAGATGGTAAACAGAAAATTTTTGCCTTTTTTCAAATATCTAATCTGATTAAAGAGATGAGATCTCTGGTCTTGATGTTCTGTTTCATTCCTCAAAGTGTTTAACTTTTAAGGAAGTTCTTGTCTTTTAGACCTTGAGAAAACAGAACACGGTGTGTCAGAATCATTTGTAAAAGGTGGTTCTCCTCCTCCTTTTTATTCTTCTTCCTCGAGAAGGCATTTTTGGAGAGACATCTGTCAGCTAGAGTGTAAATGCATGAGCTTTTCAAGCAACAGTGAATAAGCAGATAATGGATTCCCAAGATTACAGCAAGCATAATGAATGATTTTAAGTAGATTTCACATGGCCCAAAAATCACTTATATAAACTATTTATTTAGATATAGCAATCTCCTAGACCATTTTGCATAGTTATTGAGGTGGAAAAAAGTATCTTATGTTAGGGATCCTCTGTAATTTACATGACAATATTACCAGATCTTGCTGTAGTAAGTGCTAGTCTGTCTTTTTAAACATACAGTTTTGCCTGAAAAATTGTTCTGGCTCTGCATTAATACCAAAATGGATAGATAGGTGTAGCTATTTTAATTGTAATAAGTTGGCACAGCTGTGTGGTTTTCTATGGTGAAGTCTTTATTTCATACCAGATTTTTTATTTAGGCATCTCGATTTTTATTTGAACCTGAAATGAATTTCTCTCTTAGTTAAAGTTCTGAGCCGGTATAAAACCAGCAAGTATTCCGTATTTGAATTTTTGAAAAAGTTCAAATATGGAATAACTGCTTTCCCCAATAAAGTAAAATGAAGCAGACAGAATAAGAATGAGAGTGATAGAAAGGGGTGCAAAGTTTCAGAACAGAACTGGAGGTTTAAGGGAACAGTTTTTAAAAAAAGAAACATGGAACAAAGATGAACACCGTTCCCATCTTTACTTGAGTGATTTATTTAGTTATTGGTGGCAAGAAAACAGCACCCGTTAGCCACTGCAGGTGTTCAGAGGATTCTGGATTAGTGTGGAGATACATTTGAATAGAACTTGTTAAAAGATCAGATTGCTTGGTACAAGGCTAGCTCCACTTGTTTCTGTTTTGATATCTGCTAGTTTATGTTCCTGTTAATATCAGAGGCCGGATACTGAACTATTAATCTGTTTAAAAATGACACCTAGCTTATTTGTACATGCTGAGTCAAGTAGTCTTTATTTTTATTTTTGTTTTATTCTATGTTGTCTTTCCACTGTACAGGTTAGTTTTCTTGACTTGGTATCAATGAGGCATTTAACTGCTCTTCTAATCTACCTAGTCAAAGGTGCAGAATCTGATATGTTTTTCTTTTTGGAGGAAAGACAACATCACCTTCCTAAAGCAAATGTCTTGCTTCAAGTGTGGATATAATATTTGGAGGAAAGAGACTTTAAAACAAGAGTCTATGTTCATATCTATTTTACATCCTCTCTTTGTCTGACCTGGGCAAATTGAACTTCTGTGCATGCGCCTGCAGGTTCTTAGCTCACAGTCTAGCTGCTCAGAACAAAAACTTGCTCTTCCCCAGCAATGGCAAAGGAGCCTTTTAAACCTTCCAAGGTTCTCCCGAGAACCCCAAGTTTTTATTTTTTTATTCTTTTTTTTCAGGTCTTTTCAGATCTTGGCATTGTTTGCTAATAATACCAAGGTGTTTGAGAGCTGGTTTTCTCCAGCTGCTTTTCTTTTTAAACCAAACCAGTAAAATCATACAACACAAATCCCAAAGATCATCTCTGTATATAAGACATTGCAGATTACTAGTGACCCACCCCATTTCTGACATAAAGCTCTGAAAAGAATGTTGTTTTCATGTTCTTGTGTATTTTCATTCAAATATAGGTAATGTAGGTAGCAGTTTTGTAGGTGAGGCATGAGATAAGCTAGTCTGCTATGTAGTTTCCATAAAAAAAAAAACGTTTCAAACTGTTAAAAGTTATTCTGAAAGAAAGCTCAAATATGAAGCTTTACAACATTAGAGCTCGCTGTCTATATGCTAATTGACGTCTTTAGATGTGAAGTACTGGAAGGAGCTTTCTGGTAAATTTTGAATTATTTCAGTGTTCTCTGAAATAAACCAGCACGAGCCGTTGTGAGGGGCTGGGTACGAGGCTATATGGACCATAAATCTATGGACTATAAGGCCAGAGCTCCTAAGCATTTTTCAAAAATACCATTTTAACCTTTTTCATTTTCTATATAATGCATATGAAGAAGATAAAACTGTATCTCTATTTTTCTGCATTTTTTAGCATATTCTTGCCTGTTAAAAATGATTGTTTTTCTTGGACAGGTTTGCAGTCTGCGATAGTTTCTGTTATGGCCGTGTATGTGGATCATCGAATAGAAGTTCCTGACTCAGTTGCTTCCCCTTCACTTATAACGTGGCACCCACTTCATCCCCTCCTGGCAGTCGCTTCCATCAGCACAGCAGCTGGGGGCTGTGTGGATATCTATCTGGAACAGGTGAATAGTCAGACACTTTGCTTTTGGAGTTGGTGTCGTTCTGTTGCTTTGAAACTTTGCTTTTATTTTATGTATGTTTATATCCTTGCTTGTGCTCCTTTAATCCTTCTCTTTGGATTGTAATTACTATTCACGTCCCATTCTATTTAGGATACGTCAGAGTCATCAGTTACTGGTTACGGGTATTTAATAGCAAGTTCTTCCTAAGTTAAATTGATCTTTCCATTGCAATTTAATTTTTATGGTTCTTAGGTCTTTTTTTATGATGGTTACCAATTTGCTTTTGAAACTTAAGACACTTAGTCCTCAGGTTTGAGAATTTCAGGCTTAAAAATAAAATGGACACATACTTTTTAAAAAACATTAAGTAAATAAAATATATCAAGAGACATAAGGAAAAAAAATCATTCCTCTGTCTCAAGACCAAGCTGATTTGCTAGAGTCAGATAATTGAGTAAGTGGTTCCTAATACAGTTTCTGCCTGTAGGGAGGTCTTTTTCTCTTCTCATGCTCTGATAAAACTTTACACAAGAGGCTTATAACACTTTGGTTTGCATTGTTTTTGGGGGAAAAAAGTATCTGCACTATTAAAGGAAATGATACTATAACCTATCAAGCAACAGATGTAATGAAAACATTCAAGTCTCTTAATGAATAGCCTATAAAATGCATACATTTCCAAGTACTTTTTCTTAAAAAAAAAAAAAAAAAACCTGTCATCTGAATTTTACAAACAGTGAAATAGATGCGTAGATTAAATGAGTTGCACAAGCAACTTGTAGCAAACCATGCAAAAGGAAGGGCTAATTTTAAGAGTGGTTTAAGCATTAGTGTTCTGTATCCTCAGTAAAAGTGCTGTATTGTTTTTCAAAAAGTTGGCCTTTAGCTTCAAATCTAGCAGAAGCCTTCTCATCCTTCCTACAGGAATAAAAGCTCAGTATTCAGTGAGTGCTGCTCATGAGTGCTTTGACGGAAAAATAGCCTGGAAAAGCAGAGTGAGGCAGTCACTTTTAATACCACTGGGTTTTCATTAGCAGTTTTGAAGTGAATGTACTGCATGTCATTGCACATGTTTATGCATGTAAAACAGATGTGAACTAAATTTGTGTAGCCACCTCGTATGTCCTGCAGGATGCTTTGTTATATATCTGTTCTGTAAGACAGAAAAATATCTTGTTGAGTGGGGAGCAAGTTTGAAGCTGCAGCTGCACCCTGATACTGAGTTTCCATTGTACTGATCCTGCATTTTATTTCCATTTGCAGGGAGAACATGTGTCTGATGCACGTGTTGAAAGAAGCTTTCAGGTCACATCCCTTTCCTGGCAGCCCTCCAGACTGATTTTGGCAGCAGGCTGGGAGAACGGAGAAGTTGTGGTACTTAACAAACAAGACAAGGAACACCACACTGTACCATCCAATCATAATGCTGAAATTACAGTCCTAAACTGGAGTACAAATGGTACCCGCCTTGTGTCTGGTGATAGGGTAAGTAGCTGAAATGCCAAAAGCGTGTTTGATGTGAACACGACATTGCAAGCCTCAGTGACAGAAAAGGATTGTAGAATGTACTAGGAGCAGACTGCTACTAGTTTTGGGGGGAAGTTCAGTTTTATTGCTTTAGGTATATATTAATAGTATTACAGAGTAAAAAAAATTTTGCAATTTTTTAACTTTTCTACAGTGTTCGTTGCTGTTTTATCAACTTATCTTTGAATAATAGTTAATCTAATTCCAGAGTGTGCTGACTAGTAGGTGAGGGTTTAAGGCTATTTAATGGATGGGATAATGGAGGCACAGAAAGTTGGAGTTACTTGCTCCTGTCTATGCAGGAGTTCTTTGGCAGGCTCAGGAATAAAATCAAGATGTCCAGAGTCGAAGTCCTGGAACAAAGCTGTGGTAACCTTTGCACACACATAGCTACCCTCATTTAAGTACTAAAAAAACATGTTAATCTCTTTTGTGTTAGTGTAGGTTGTCATCTTTTCAATAATGCTCTAAAAATAAGTAGCAACTATTTTATGGAAATATTGTGGAAATATTTTGAAATGTGTCTATCTTTATTTCTTAATGAACTAGTTGTCATTTTATGTAGTGAAATGAGAAATTAGCTATTGAATATTTAGTATTCAGCGTTAAGTATTCATAGAATATTCTGGTTTTGCCAGTTCTTGAGTTAACAAAATCAGATCTTTTTTTATTTACTATCTCCTTGATATAAACTTGAGCTTGTCCAAGAATTTCAGTTCTATGCTGTGAGAATTCTTGTCTATATGAATTGGAGGAAAATAAAATTTTACATCATGTGAAATTCTATTGAATGCTGGATTTGACAGAAAAACACTTAGGAATCACAGTTGAATTTATCCTCTTTATTAGAAAAGAGGAAAGGCTGCTGAGACAGAAGAAGGTGACACACAGTGTAAATGAGGCCTTATTTATACCGAGAGAATACATTAATGTACCTGCAATTAGTTCATTGCAAAGTGCCCTGTATTTATGACTAGACTTTTTCATATTGATTATTTGGTATCAGATCACAGTAATTACATATTTTTGAAAGAAAAGTAGCTTTTCGGGGTCACAGAACCATTGAGGTTGGAAGGGACCTTTAGAAATAATCTAGTCCAAGCCCCCTGCTCAAACAGTGTCACCTAGAGCAGGCTACCCAGGAGCCTGTCCAGACAGCTTTTGAATAGCTCCCTGGGCAACCTGTGCCAACCCTGTCAGGAACAAAGTTCTTATTCAGATGGACGGTCCTGTATTTCAGTTTGTGCCCATTGCCTCTCGTCCTGTCACTGGGCACCACGGAGAAGAGTCGGGCCCTGTTCCTCTTGACACCCTCCCTTCAGATGTTTATACACATTGATAAGATTCCCCCTGAGCCTTCTCTTCTCCAGGCTGAACAGGCCCTGCTCTCTCCGCCTTTCCTCCTAGGAGAGATGCTCCAGTCCCTTCATCATCTCAGTAGCCCTTTGCCGCACTTACTCCAGGTCTCTCTTATACTGGGGAGCCAGACCTGGACACAGCGCTCCAGGTGTGGCCTCGTCAGGGCTGAGCAGAGGGGCAGGATCACCTCCCTCCACCTGCTGGCAATGCTCTGCCTAATGCAGCCCAGGATACTGCTGGTTGCCTTTGCCCCAAGGGCCCACTGCTGGCTCATGGTCAACTGGTTGTCCACCAGGACCCCCCAGGTCCTTCTCCGCAGAGCTGCTTTCCAGCAGGTCAGCTCCCGGGTTGTCCTGGTGCCTGGGGTTATTCGTCCCTAGGTGCAGGACTGCCTTTTGTTGAACTTGAGGAGGTTCCCCTCTGCCCATCTCTGCAGCCTGTTGAGGTCCCTCTGAATGGCAGCACAGCCCTCTGGTGAACCAGCTGCTCCCCCCAGTTTTGTATCATCAGCAAACTTGCTGAGGGTGCACTCTGTGCCTTCATCCATGTCACTGAGGAACAAGCTGGACAGGATTGGACTCAGTATTGACCCGTGGGCAAACAGCTAGCTACAGGCCTCCAACTAGAGTTTGCGCCACTGATCACAACCCCCCGAGCTCTGCCATTCAGCCCCTTTTCAGTCCACTTCACTGTCAGAGTGCAGCCAACAGAGGCAGTGAACAGATGCAGCAGTTTGCGCAGCAGTTCGTGCAGAAGGGTGCCAGAAGGCACCTCTCCATTTTGCAGTGGTGTGTCCTTCCCTGGGCATGGTCATGACATGCCACAGAGCATGTTCCCCAGTTGTTGGAGGTGCTGCATCAGCTGTGTCTGAGGCTTCAACCCAGACAGACCCTCAGACAGCAGATGCAGCTCTGCAGGTGTCAGGCTGCAGGGAGTGCTTGGGACCTCTCTGTGGGGCCTGGGCGGACAGTCAGCTCTCCTGTGTGAGGTGTGCTGCGGTTGACCAGTTGCATCACCAGATAAAGGAGCTACGGGAGGAGGTTAGTAGGCTGCGTAGCATCCGAGA